TAGCTGTAGTGAAACTACACTTTGCATGGTTTCAGTTACCTGCAATCAACCATGGTCCAAAAATATTAAATGGAAAATTCCAAAAATAAACAACTCGTAAGATTCCAGTTGTGTAGGGTGATGACATCTTGGGCTATCCTGCTCAGACCTGCCTAGATATGAATCATCTCTTTGGCCAGCATACAGCACAGTAAGATATTTTGAAAGAAAGACTTTTTTTCCTTTTCTTTTATTTATTTATTTATTTATTTATTTTTTTGAGTTGAGGTTTGCTATGCTCAAGCTGGCCTTGAACTCCTTGGGTTGAAGTTTTCTTCTTTAACCTCTAGAGTAGCTGTGGCCATTGGCACCTAGCTCTGTGCCACTCTCTGTGTAACTGGTCATAAGATAATTGCTCTGTTGTATTGTTAATGTCCTACTGTGCCTAACGTACATGTTTCACTTTACTGTAGGCGTGAATATATAAGAAGGAACATAATATATATGCAAGGCTCAGATTATTGAAGGTTCTGGTATCCACTTGGAATGCATGCCCTAGAGATCTGAAGGGACGACAGTATGACATTCTGTAGTGCAGGTCTGTTGGACACCCTCACATGGCTCATTTGGACAACTGTGGTGATTTTTTTGTTTGTTTGTTTTAAGTTTAATATACACTCTAGAAGCCTGCCCCATGACTATATGAGGCTTTGGGGGACATCTAGACACAAGCCATAACATTCCACCCTGCTTCCCCCCCCCAAAGACTCATGTATATCCTTTCATGAAAAAGGCATTTTAGTCCAGTTCTAAGAGTTGCTAAAGTCCTAACAGTTTCAGCATTTTTGGGAAGTCCAAGTCACAAGTCTTCTCTGAGATCTAAGACAAACTCTTTTTTTTTTTTTTATACCGAGAATCAAACTCATTACCTTGCCTTTGACACTGAACTATACCTCTGACCCTGCCTAAGGCAAACTGTTAGCTGTGAGCCCCTGTATAAATGAAAAGAAAGTTAAACATTTCCAACATTTAATGGCACAAGATGAATATTATCATTCCAAAAGATACAAACAGGGATACCAAGTACCGGAACCAAAGCAAGTCCAAAATTCAGCAGGGCAAACGTTAAATCCTGTAGTTCCACATTCAGTATCCAAGGCAATCTGGCAAATTGTAAGCTCCACGTGCCTCCTCCTCTGTGACACTTCTAGTGATTGTAGCTCCATGGCTTCTCTCTCACACCTGCTTTGCTCCTTCCTTACAGCTTTCCTTAGATGATCCACATTCCTGTCTTTTCCAAACTTCTGGGGTCTCTACTGCACTTTAGGCTTCTCACAGCTTCACACACTTTCCTCCCAGGGGCACACTGCCTGAACTCCCTTCTGAAATCTAGTAGAAAGCCTTCTTAACCTCAGAACTCTTGTATTCTGCATGTGCCAAAATCCACACTATATGGAGAATGCCAGGGTCTGCTGTCAGCTGGAGCAGTAGCCAAGCTTTCCTCTCACAGATGTAGGGGTTGAGTGCCTGGATCATGGAGCACTCTGAACCAGATTCTGAGAAATAAATTCTCTATGCCACCACCATTCTGGAATATGGCACTCTGCAGCTTTCTCCTCAAAGCAAAGTCTTTCACTTTTGCAGGTGTGAAGAAGCAGAGGGTTGAGACTTGCTGCTTCTTGTAATGCTCTCAGGCCATCTTTTCTATTCTCTTGCTCCTTCTCAGCAGTGGAGATTTCTTCAGCTCTATCTTTGCACAGCTTCACTGGAGCTGGCTTTCTGGCCCAACTTACAATGTTTTAAATCATCCTGCTGGGCTCTTTACTCTTGATTCTCAATATAAATTTGGCAAAAAGCCCCCAACAATAGCCATACCACCACTTCAACATGTAACTGCCTTGAAATTTCTTCTGCCAGATTAATCAGTCTGCCACCCTTAATCTTAGTGTCAAGCAAAATCTCTGGACATGAGCAAAATACAGACAAACTTTCTGCCAAGCCATAACAGTGTTATCAGGAGTCCAGCACTCGATGTAGTCCTTCTTCCCAGCAGAAACTGCCCAAGCCCAGTTTTACTAGCTGGGTTTCTGTCCACACTTCTGCTCTTCTGAGCTTTGAACAGAATCTCCCCTACAGAACAGCCTGAGATATTCCAGTGCTTCTCTTTCAGTGAAATGTCCAAACATTTCCAAGCAGTTCCTATAGGTTCCTTCATCTGGCATGAAAGAGAAGCATGGGAAAAAAGTAAAGAAATCTTTTACTGCTCAGCAAGGACAGTTGAGGGAGGAAGTGGGAACGGTGTTTTTTATCGGGTTGGACTGGAGGTGGAGTTTACATGGGCAGTATAGTGTCCAAACCGATGCTGATTGGGGAAGGCTTGGCGCAGATGAAAAACAAAAGGAAACTCAAGGTTAATGAGGGAGGGGGACACGGAAATCAACATAGGAGTGGTTTATCTTTGGTTTAGGGTCCCCACGCTATACTGACTCACTGCCATGATGACTAGGCAGGCTGTTGTATAAGCCCAGACCTGCCACTTCCAAAGGCTCTAGAACCACATGGTCACAGCAATGACCCCACTTGTCTGGTATCAAATTTTGTCTTGGTTACTTTTCTCTCATTGCTGATTCAAAATACCTGACACCCAAAATTATGGAAGGAAAGGTTTGTAGAGGTTTTGGTCCATAATCAGCTGGCACCAAGGCAGAGAGCAACAGTTCATGGCCACAGGAAAACTGCAGAAGTAGCAAGAGCCAAAAAGGAGGAGCAGCAGAGAGGTGGCCTCTTTCCCTTTTATTGTATGCAGGCTGCCCGCCCCAGGGTAGGTGGCGGGTGGCGGATGTAGCACTCATACTCATAACCCCAGCATTGGAGCATGAATTAATCATGAACTCTAGAAGCCCACCCGTGACTACATGAGGCTTTAGGGAGACATCTAGACACAAACCATAAAGCACACAAAAGTTATTTAAAGATAACTAATATACATAAGCATACAAGATACACACGAGAGTTATTTTATGCTTTATTTAAAATGTGTCCCTAAAGTCACCTAAGTGTGTTGTCCCTAAAGTTACCTAAGTGCATGGATGAGGCTTTTGAAGGTGACGAAATTCCACACACTCTGTGTACAAGAACAACAGCTTATTTCCCACAGTCCTGGCCTGACGTGGAGCTCTGAGCCGTTGCTGGCTGGGCAGATGCTGGCTGTAATCAGTGACCTAGTTCTTGCTCTACTTCACCAGTGTCTTTGTCTGCTCTGTGGTCTTGAAAGAGAAACCTCCTTTGCTTCCCAGCCTCTGCCTTTCACAGAGTTTTCTGTTGCCACCTTGTCAAGAAGGGAAGAATTTACACACAAATCTGAGTTTACAGAGATGTTTATAAACCCTGGAGAAGTCTTTACCTTTTACGCTTAGTGCTCAGATCACCAGAAAGTGCCAGGTGAATTCAGTCACCAGTTTCAATGCTAGAAAGTCTTTCAGGAAGAGTAGTAAAGGTCTGCTGCCCTAACTCAGGAGCTGTACATCCTGAGCTGAAACTCACTTGGAGTTTTCCTCCCCCCCCACACTCTTCCCCTGTGTTCTACTGAGTTACACTTGGGTGCATGAGCCCCTGGTGATGGCTTGGCCCAGGCGCTAGCAGGGGCTCTTTGTTCAGTGGCCCTGTTGGTGGCAAAGCGAGAGGTCCTACATCACAAGCGTCCCATGCTGGACCCTGGTTCTGTCTGTGTGGTGGCAGACTGAGTCTAGGGGGAGAGTATAGAGATCCCTTCCCAGTCCTCATCATGGCCCAGGGAGTTTATATTTGTAATCTCATGGAAAAGTTCTTGGAATTCTAGCAAGTTAATTTTTATGCACCACTTGTCATATAACTCATGGTGAGAGTAAAGACACTAAGGCATATTTGTAGTTATGGAGAGTCAGGGGGTCCTAAGTCCAGTTACAGTGATGACTAACCAGAACAAAGGCCTCACTCAGGGCTAACCCTGGGAGTTATTAATTTGTGGAAAAGGGAGTGGCTTGAGGATAGTAACTGTGAGAATAGCAGGAAGTAGGTGAGTGCTGCGAGCTGGGCTGGGCAGGAGCTCTGAAATCATCTCTGCAATATGCAGAGAGAAGGATATGCAGAAGGGATAATCTGCATGACACAGTCGAAGTAGTAGCTAATGTTTTAGAGTCAGTGCTTTAGCTCTGAGGTGTAATCTTTATGCCCTGGGAAGTCATAGCCTCTTATCTTGAGGCTCCATCCCAGCCAACAGCATGGAGTGTGGATCTTCATCCCACCCCAGCTCACACGTGGGTTTTAGGAGCTAGGGGGTTGGGGAAACACTGCCCTGTCGCCTTGCTTCAAAGACTACACATTAGCACCTTGGCTGGACTGATAGGCAGTGCTTAAAGCCAGGTGAAGGGATAAGGAAAAGCCTTAGCAGCTCTGTACCTGTCAATACATGGAAATAGGGTCACGTTCAGCCAAAATGGAGACAATTGCTCCTCCTTCAAGGAGAGTTGCCGCGGTGATCCTCCACAGAAGAGGGCAAGTTCTCATCGTATTCTTCAAACACCATTTAACAAGAAAGTATATAGAACCCTTCTGTCCTTAAATGTATGTAAGGTCGGCAAGGTCCTTTTCCACCCAAACAATGAACAGAATCTCTAAAGATAATAAGAGAATTTGGGAGTAACAAAGCATTGCCACGGGAATTCATGTGTCATAGCAAACTGAACATCTCCAAAAATTAAGTAATTTTGGAGCAATACTCCTTGGTTTCCAGGACCAGTAACAGGAGTAGCAGCCATGCCTGGTTGGCCAGGTGTCCGTGGCATGCTTCTGTAGAGGTTGTGGTGGCCCGTGGTGGCTGTGGTTCCAGCAGCGTCTTTTGCTGTAGTACTTACCATCAGAGATTTAGGCCCAAGATTATCTTTGGAACTTCAGCTTTATGTCTGTTAGGGCTTGACACAACTGGCTCTGCTTTGATTCCAGCAGTGTTCACATGCTGACATCTTGGCCCAATTGTGTTTCAGACAACGGAGGGCAGACCCTGGCTGGAGGCAACAACTGGCCCCTTCGAGGCAGAAAATGGACCCTGTGGGAAGGAGGGATCCGAGGGGTGGGCTTCGTTGCAAGCCCCTTGCTGAAGCAGAAGGGCATGAGGAACCGGGAGCTCATCCACATCTCCGACTGGCTGCCAACGCTGGTGAGGCTGGCGGGGGGCCGCACTCACGGCACCAAGCCCCTGGATGGCTTCGACGTGTGGAAAACCATCAGGTACTGTGCATGTTGCCCTCTTGAATAGAAGCTCCAAGGGCACCTTGATAGGAGGGGTGAGAACGATAACTTTTGTGTTGAAATTGCAGTTCCACTTACAAAAATGATCTCTTTTGAGATATGAAATACCCATAGAGATACTTTAATTACCTATTTTTTAAGTTTGAAATTGAAATTTGGAATTGCAGGTGTATCTTTACATGAAGAGTAAGGCTGCCCTCAGCCTTTAGTTGGTAGGGAAGGTCTTGGAGCCGACTGCTCTGCTGAGAAGTGAGCACATGTGCTGTTGGCTTCCTGCAGGGACTGGGGGCCCCACCTTGCTGTGTGCTAGACTGGGAGCCCGGAGCAGCTGTGCAGCCTCGTATTAGTGATAAGAGCATGTGGGTGCAAGGTGAAGGCACTCTTTCAGTCTGTCTTATTTTTGTAACATTTTGCAAATTTGAAATTACTTCCAAATATAATAAAATGTGTTTATTTTTTAAATAAGAAGACATAGCGAGCCAGGGTCCACAAGGCCAGCAACTGAGTGGAATCATAGGTGCTACCTTTAGTGGATGATGCATTGACCCTCTAAGTCCCTGTTACTCCTGCCTCATTGCACAAGCCCCAGGCACTCATTTCTGCTGTCTACCTGATGCCTGTCTGTGCTGAACTTAGTGACCCATGCAGATCACTGCATAGGCACAGTCCTCAACCTCTGAGCACACCATAATGGAACCAGCCTCAAAATACTGGACACATGGGGTATTCCTTATATTTTTGTACTCTCTGTAACAAAAAATCTTCAATTTTAGAAAGTCAGGGTTTGGCCAGAGATTATTTTAAACAAAGGAAATGTGACAGCTATTGTTATGGTTTGTATCCAGATGTCCCAGAGCCTCATGTATTCATAGGTGAGGCTTTCTGGAACTGACTGAATCATGGACGTGTGGTGCTGGGATTAATGGCGTGTGGCACTAAATTAGTCCCCTGGTTGGAATTAGTGTAGTTCTGGGTAGCCTCACCCAAAAGACTGGCAGCCTGGATGGGATGCAAGGGAACGGCAGGCTGGTTGCTCGCTGCTTCCTGCTGGCCCTGCCACGTGCTATTTCTTCTCCGCCATGGCCCTCTGCGATGCCGTCCTGCCTTGGAGCCAGTCACCTAGGCACTGAAACCCCTACTGACTGAGCTAAATCAGCCTTTCCTCCCTTAAGTTATGGGTGTCAAGTATTTTGTCCCAGCCATGAGAACAGTAAGCAAGACAGCTGCTAGTGCTCAAATAGAAGCTCTTGAAGTCCTCTGGGTTTAGGGACAGATAGAGGAAAGATGTAGCCAGGCTGTTCGGCCTCTCAGACCAGGAGTCTCATAGCTTCTCTCTACTGAGTGTTGTCAAGGCAGGTGAGATTACCAAAGATTTAAGCTCTTCCAAACCTCAGGGAAAATCTGATCAATTAGTGTTCTCATCTTCTGTAAATCGCTTCCCAATTCAAAATTCCAGATTTTCCTTGGAGACTTTCTCAAATTTTAAAGATTGTTTATAAAACAGCAAAAAGAGTAACTGCCTCTTCCCCTTACTCAAGTTGAACCTTGAATAATACCAGGCTTAGGATTGTTGACCTCATTATGTCAGAAATCTGAATACAGTACAACTTAATACCTTTATTAACTGTTGCTTGCAGTTGACCCTTCTCAAAAATAGTTTTGAACTAGTACTTCAAATTTAAAGTGAAGTTCTTAAAAATCTCAACTTGATCACATATGAAACAATTTAAAAACTTTAGAGGCATACTTAGGGGGAAAAGTCACTGAAAGAACAACACATTTGTCATGAACAAAAAGGGGTATCTTCTGGTAAATATAATAAAAATCCCATGCAGATAGTTCTTTTTATCCAATCAACAGGCAAAAAAGAAGCAAACACTTAAAGGACTCAGCCCCCACCTTCTGTTCATTCCTTATCATGGATCACACATTCATTCCTCCTTGTTGGATGACAAATGCCTCAGGAGCAGGCCGCTGCTCAGCTGGTGCCGCAGCTGCTTTTACCTCTTTGTCTTGTTGTGGTTTAGGGTTTTCTGACAGCTGCAGCAGTGATTGAAGCCGCAGGGGTCCTTGTGCCAAGGGGCTGCTGACCTCAGGTGTCATCACCTTGGCTTTCTTCCTTCCCTTTGCTGCGTCCTCTCTGAACTGTCTTTGCTGGGAGGTCCTGTGGAAGATATCCTGGTCTTCAACTGCAGATGCACCTTGTTGTCCCGCATCCTGTGTGTGGCACCCTCCATCACTGCTCCCTGCCCAGGAGGAAGCATGCTGTGATGGTCACCCACAGGCTCTGCACAGAGCTGGAGGAGACTGTCACCTCTGATGGAAGTGGGCCATCACTGGACTCTGTAGGGAGTGCTGTGCTGTCCTTCGGTCTTCCCCCTGCTTGCACTGTCCTGCTGGTTGTGCTGAAGGAGGGCCCTGCGGCCTGGGAGAGCATCTGTGCAGTTGCTGCCTCTATCTAGAACTCCTTGGCATCTGTTCTTATTTCCTTGGCACCCAACGCCACAGCCACACACACACACACACACACACACACACACACACAGGCGCTCCCTGGGGTTGCTCCTCGTGGCAGTAGAGGTGCAGCCCACCTTCCTTGCTGTTCCTGTTGATGAAATCACATTGAGCCATTTCCCTGCTCCCCAAACCTCTGCTGTGACCCTCCATCCACACTAGCAAGCACCACCTGTGTGGTACCACCTGGCCACCAGTTCCTGCACTCCCCGCTAGGTGTCTGCAGTGCTGAGGGGGGCACTGGGCAGCTGCTGAGTCTGTTCACTACTCGTGGCCGCAACAAGGTGACTGAGTCCCAGCACAGCTGCAACTCTCCTGGGGTGTGGTGGTACCCCAGCCCAGGGAAGTGGCCTCAGGGGATCTTGGGATTCTGAGGTCTGCTCTTCTCCCACTCCAATAGAAATCTGCATACATTTGCCTCTCTGGAATGCTATATTATTAATGGCTTGCTGTGGACTAGAAGCATACTCATGACATCATGGGATTACCTCATATTATGAGGTATATGTGTGCTATATTGCTGTGGAAAATGTGTTGAAAACCACAGAAAAGCACTTTTTATTGCACTGAGCAACTCAGTGGAGATGATTTGGCTTGCAGGATGTTGTCAGCAGGTGCTTGCAACATGAGCAGAGCTCAGGAGGTGACTGACTGTGGTACTACAGTGAGGCAGGACCCTGGACACTGTGCGTTAGGCAGGCAGGAGGCGCCACCACATCCTTATATCCTTACATCTCCTGGGGGGTAGATGGGGCTGTACGTGGTCTAGGTTAGTGTGCTGAGGTTTTGATAAATTGTGTATGTCTTATGCTAGTAAATGGTAAAAGACTATTATTTTCTATGTATATTTTATGTATTCATGACATGCTTTTTACTTCTTTCAATATCTCTAGGCTGTGCAGTTTGCTTGCAAGTTTTTCAGATTGTCAAAGCTTTTCAAAATAGCCACATATAAGTGGATCCACAGCATTCAAACTAGTTATTCAAGTTTCAGTTATACTCTATGACTAGGGGGAAAAATTCGTGCTAGCATGAAACTGTTGTTTCCATTTTCTTGCCTGAAAAGTTGATTTTTCACCTTGGAGACAATGTCCAAGTCATGATTTGCCATTTAAGAATGAATACTCAGAGCACTGAAGTCACAGAAAAGGCAGAGCCCCCAGTTTCCCAGCTCAGCTGGGAAACAAACAGAGCCGTTGCTCTCCCAGGCACTGATGCTTCGCACTCATTATTTGCTCATTCATGAGATGACCTTTCCATTTACCTTAAAGTATTCTGTCTCTTGCCAGGTGTGGTGACACATGCCTGTAATCCTAGCACTAGGAGGCTGAGGCAGGAGGATCTCTCTGGGTTTCACTGCCTGAGCTCCATAGTGAGCCTAAGGCCAGCCTGAACTACATAGTGAGACCTTCTCTAAAAGAACCAAAAACATATTCTGTATATGAAACAACTCCTCATGATAATTGTAATCATTATGTGCTCAAAACATGTACTAATAGAAAAACAAAACTAAAATCTGCCTCTCTTTATAACTGATGTATAATTTAAATTTGATTTCCCTGTGTTAGCAATATATACTCATTATAGCTAATTTTCAAGCTACAGAAAATAATAACTACTCAAATCCCATGCTGAAATAGTTATTATAGGGATTTTGCCATATTGCTTAAAATTCTTCTTTTCAGCAGCTTTACATTTTTTTCCCTCATTTAATGGATGGCCAGTTTTGGTCAGGCTAAGAAATCCATTGCAGATCCATCTATAATCCCAGCACTTGGGAGGCTGAGGCAGGAGGACTGCCATGAGTTCAAGACCAATGCTGGCTTATAGCAACTTCAAGACCATCATGAACTACACAGTGAAACCCTGCCTTGACAGATGAACAAACAAGTAAGCAAATGACACAGAAGCTGTCCTGGTTACTTTTCTCTCGTTGCTGGGACAAAATACCCAACACCCAAAATTAAGGAAGGAAAGGATCTATTTAGCTCACAGTTTGTGGAGGTTTCAGTCCGTCCTTGGCTGGCTCCAAGGCAGGGTGGCACATGGCAGAGGGCAGCAGATCATGGTGGCACAAGACAGAAAGAGCCAAAAAGGAGGAGCAGTGACTAAGCAGCAGAGGCAGAGAGCAAGCCTCTCCTCTTTATTTAAATTGCATTCAGGCTCTCTGCCCCAGGTGGGGTGTAGCACTCATAATCCCAGCAGCACTCACATCTGTAATCCTAGCAGCACTCACATCTGTAATCCCAGCAGCACTTATATCCATATTCCCAGCGGCACTCACACCCATAATCGCAGCAGCACTCACATCCATAATCCCAGCAGCACTCATATCCATATTCCCAGCGGCACTCACACCCATAATCCCAGCAGCACTCACATCCATAATCCCAGCATTGGGTTATGAATTAATCACAAAGCCTAGAAGCCCACCCCCGTGACTAGATGAGGCTTTGGGGGGACCC